CCCCAAAACCCCAAAACCCCAAAACCCCAAAACCCCAAAACCCCAATTACTGCAGCTGAAATTGAATGTAAATGGACAATTATGATCCGATATATCCATCCTTAGCCTTCTTAATAGCCTTTCTGACTCTTTTCTTATGCTTCAATTTCCATAACTTCCTTCCTGAGGTGAACTCAAGCTTCTCTGGAGCCAACAACTTTGGATCTTCATATTTCAAGGTCATCTTTGATACCTTTGGTTTAGGAATACTGTTCAATCTTTGGACGAAAATGAGGTCATTGGTCAGTCCAGTAATATGATCTGCTGAAGCAAGGTTCTCCTTACCTCCAGCAATCTTCTTCTCAATAGCAGAAGCCAGGATGTGCTTCGGCAGCAGATAGTCAGGAACAAAGTCAAGATTTTGGTTCAAGAATCTGAACTTATACTCCGATTCTACGCTTGACTTAAGAATATCCTTCTCTTCTTGATGTTCATCAAAATACTCTTTGAGTCGCTTGTTGTTGAGAATTTGCTTTTTGATTTCATTTCCCATATAATCCTTAATCTTCTTAGAGCTAAGAGTGCAGAGGATGTCGTCAACCCGTCCCTTGAGTCTGTTAACTTCGATCCAGTCAATAGGTAAAGTCACAAATAAACTTCTATTATGTCTTTTTAGCATTTTCTTTGTAAGATTTTCCAGGTATTTGTGCTCCTTATTGTCGTAAACTCTAGCTCCTTCCTTGTATACAAATGTGAGGACAGAAGAGTTATCAAACCCTAGCTTGTTGGCACCCATAACATAGTCTTGGATGTTCTGAGGTGTCGTGAAGTTGATCACATTGACTACCTGTGAAAGCTTCAGCTTGAAGCTATATTTCATGCGCACCAAGATCAAGATATCGTATTGTCCCGCATGGAAGTATCTCACTGCTGATTTCCGATATACTTGAGTAGCTTCTGGATTCACCACTGCTGATCTGATTGCAAATTTTTCTAAGAATATTTTCACCTAAAGAGAAGTTAGCTGCTTTCGTTTGGGATCTTTAGATCAAAATAGAGAAATATAGAAACTGCTTACCTTATAAGCTTCCTGGATTGTGTCAACGAAAAGAGCAGTCCTGCCTTGAATAATTCCAAACTTAGTGAGAGTGTAGAACGCGAGGTATTTCTGAAGCTCACTGTCACATTCGATAACGAGATGCCCAACGGATTCGTACCGTGAGCTGCTCTTAGTCTGCTCCTTAAGCTTGATAACGACTGCATTTTCATCGCCAATGTAAGCTTTTCTGATATCATTGAAAGTTTCATCTTTCTCTTGTTCATTGGTGGTAAGAACAACCTTGGTGAGAAGCCTCTCTTCAGATTTCATGAGGAATGGCTGGATCAATTTTCCTGCACCAGCAAGCTCCTCTTCAAGATCTGTTGCTAGATGGAGATCAATCTTGTCAACAATTAAGGATGAAATCTGTACTTCCTGCTTAATTCCACTGAAACACTCATTTTCAAGAAGGAAATGAAGATTATTGGTTGTAGTGACCAAAATATCAAAGCTCAACACCTTCTTTTTCTTTTTGACTTGCTCTTCATTGGAGTACAGACTATTTAGATCAGAGACATGCTCGATGGTATGATCAAGTGTAAGGATATCTAATGGAGTCTCGCCATCTTCGTCTTCAAGGAGAGGCCTCATAGTGGACAGAATATCGTTGCATCTACAATATTAATGATTCCTTTTACCTTGTCTTTGATGCACAAGCAATGATCATAATTTTCTTTTCTCCAGCTTCTTCTAGATATTGATTGAAAATACTTACCATGTGCTTTATCCTTAATGGCTCTGGTCAACAGAGGGAAAAGATATGTCAGCTTAATACCAGCAGGAGGTGTGTACTGGATGATGACAGAGGAAGTGGACGGGGTGGTGATTACTGGGATGACGTTCTTCTGGAGGATGGTCGGGTAATCTATGGAGACGTTCTTGCGGATGTATTTGGAGATCTTGTGGGCTTTGAGGAAGTCCTTCATTGGCTCGGATTTTTCTAATTCGATGTGTGTAGGGAGAATGGGATGTTTTGTCTCTTCCATTTTGAGTTTTAATGTAATTATTATCGTGTTTCAACTTTTCAAAGAGGTCATGGGGTTTTGGGGTTTTGGGGTTTTGGGGTTTTGGGG